TTTTTTTTGTTTTTGTTTATCTTTATTCAGCCAAAAATAAGATTTTTTAATTATCTATTTTTTTAAACAATGTTTATTGTACGACAGCCTGTACGATTTCTCTGAAAGGGAAATATTGAAAAAAATGACGTTTAATCTATATGTATTTTTCTTCCTAATCGAAAGACAGAGTCATATTTACAAATTCCAACTTTATCAAAGTGTACAAATGTTCTGAATCATCTTGAATAGTTCGAAAATATTTATATATTATTAAAACCCTGCTCGATTCTTACTGTGATTTATTAACTTCGCTACAATTTTTATATTAAAGCATATAAATTTTTTATAATCAGTAGCCAGTTTGAATACAATGACTAGTTATTTGCTGTGTCAATTCTTAAATTTCATATTATTGTTCTTATTGTGTGTGTGCTGCCCGTGTTTCAATATTTACACATCTCAACCTTTATTTTCAATTTATTCATCCAGATTAGAATTAAGTAGTGAAAATGTGAAAACAAGTGTGGTAAAGCCTATTTAATAGAACGCTCTACAAACGAATATCAAATATTTTAAAAAATAATTTAACCCTTATCACTAAAAACTTAAAATTCAGAACATTTTATGGAAAAAATACTTAAAAAACACCAAATAAAGATTAAATATTGTTTTTAAATGCAATATTACTAAATCTGCAAAAACAAATTTTAACGAAATTTTTAATTTAACAAATAAAAATTTGAAATTTCTAGCTCCTAAAACACCACATAGAAATTTCGTAAATATTCTGACGTTTCTTAATCACAGATAAGAATTGATTTTAATAAAAGCAAAAACCTATCTTTATATTGTAATTAATTCACTATGATTAAAACGAATAAATGTAGATTTAATATACTAACGACATAATGGAAACAATTTTGTGATAATTGATTTATAAAGTTATCAAGAAGTTAAGGAAAGTCTTATATCGATCTGACTGCAGATTTTTGCCATTACATGTTTGGATAAACAAGTAATGGTCAAAATCTCTTGATAACACTTGATGGACAGGCTGCTCTATCGGGATATAAATACAGGAATAGCAAAGATGATCAATTCTTCCACTTATTTGATCTTTACTTTCTGTTTATTTACTAAGACAAATGGCTTTTTTTATATAAGGAACTAAATCTTAAATGAAGCTTACAGCAAGAAATTTATTTAATCGACGGTAAATATTTATTACGCTTAAAATTTATTTAAAAAATACTGTATATTACTCATGTATCCTACCTTGTTTGACTTCGGGACATTCATTTGTGTTGCATGCTTGTCGAATTGGCGGTTTATTTTTTTCTTCGCAATTCATACTGACACATTGTTCGTTATTGATGCACGTTATTTCTCTCGTCTGTACTCCCGTGTCACAAGGTTTAGAGCACTGTATAGTTCAAGAATTTCAGATTAATTTCAAATATAGTTTTCTACTAAAATATTAATAATATGTTATGTATATTTCGTTTTAAATCGATAGAAATAAATCATACCTCTGTCCATTCACTAGTGTACCATTCATCTGTACATAATTGGATCTGACAGGGCTGCTCTGTCTTTGGTTTGTTCAAAGAATCACAATGAATATCTGGAATGATTTTCCAAGTATCTTGTTCCGAAGACAAACATAAGACTACGCGGCTCTGAGTTCCATTACCACAAGTGACGGAACACTAGAGTTCATTTAAACATTAATAGCCCATTAGCAATCATAAATAACATATGAAATATTTTAATTTAATAATTTCTTAACTAAGATAAAATTAAATGAAGACTAAAGTATACATGCCATATAATTACACTGATTTCCAAAATTGGTTACAATATACATATATATATATATATATATAACTATTTCTGCTTTAATTTTACGCATGAATACAGTAGACAGTATACAGTAGAGTCTCTGTAATCCGACATATATCGGACCGGCGGATGACGGATTACTGAATTTTGATATTAATATGTATGTACTGTACATTAAAACACGCACTTGGTTCACAGGCTAATCTATCGTATTAACCATAATTATGACCGTTTCGTCTACCACATTTGCAACATACAACTAGCGACTGACAGGTTTATCAGTCTCTCTCTGTCGAATACATCGACAAGTAGTAACAGGAAAATGTCATGTGCGCCGCCCTGCGGATTACTGGACGTGTCGGACTGGAGAGTGATAGACTAAAAAGACTCTACTGCATTACAATTTATACTTTATTATATACAAACTGTATACTACACTATAGTTAGATTAGAACTGATTATTATTTTGAAGTAAGAACAATAATTAAATTTATTTATCTTCGGTAAAGTATTTGTTTAAAATACAAAATAAAAGTCTACACCAGTGTTTTTCAATCTTCTTGAATAAGCGACCCCTTTACAAGTTAAAAAATTCTGGCGACCCCCAGGGCCATATTAAAACTATGTCAGTGATTTTAAAAACTACGTATTTAAGTTTCTTTCTGTTGAGACTTAAATAGCGATCAAAAAACCAACTGCACTGTAAAATAAACAGGCACAGCCTTCTCACTGAGATTGTAGTTTTTTTTATTATAGTGTAGGACCTACAAACACTTGTCTTTTTCTTTTACCCGCGACCCCCCGTGTAAGGCTTTGCGGCACCCAGGGGGGTCGCGACCCACAGGGTTGAAAAACACTGGTCTACACAATATTTATATTAAGGACACCATTAAAAACAACTGTCTTAAACTTTTTTAAACGTCGTAAATGCAATAAATTTCATATACACTATTACAATTTGTGTTGATAAAAAAGTGCAAAACTTTTTATCTTTTTCAAAACAAATAAACAATAAAAGTAAAATTGATAAGATCATCCGTAAACAAAGACAATTTTCTCTAGAATCTCATCAGTTACTCTATGGCAGATAATTCTTATCATTGTGAAAAATCTTTCATTTCTGACAACAAAAAAAGGCTCATACATTTATATAAAACTAAAACTATATTAAAATGATATTAAGTTATATTAAAGACTCATGCCTATAAAACGTCAGAAATCAATTTTACTTGATTTTAATATTCTAATTTCGCATTCATTTTAATTATTTTATTTCATTTTGGTCATTTGATTTTTCATATTCCAGGAACAAGTTGCATTAAAGATTTGAAGCTTTATTTTCATTTCGGCAATTTCTTCATACTCGATACTCTACTTTTAAATCGAATTTTAGAATTATTAAAGTTTATAACATCTTTTCACTTAATTTTAGTATATCAAATAATTTTATATCTCTTAATGGACTATTTAAGTTGAAATCTAAAATAATATAAAATTATATTTTGTTTCATAAATTGAATCAATTAAAACTAATAGCATGAAAAGTGTGTTCGCATTACTTATATTCTGTGTTTCGTCAGTTCTTTACATGAATATATAGGATAAATATAGTAGTAATTATAATGGAATTATATAATTTTGTATAATCTCACTGATTGTTTAAATTGAAACATAAACTTTTCGTTTGCAGGATACTTTAAACTGTAAAATCAAATAATAGTGGTTTGGTATTTCAAAAATTCACGAGTAAACTTAATACAATATAATATAATTCGTGGACACTATGAAGCCTATCTAGAATACATCAAGTTTTCTGAATGAAAAATGTCTTATTTGGCTGAAAAATGTACTAAAATAGACATCAAATGTGTTTCATTAGATACTAAATATTATTTGGAATCATAACATCATTTTTAAAAAATCCAGGAACGAGTTGCATAATTTTTCTGGCAATAAAATTAAAATTGTGTGTTGATTATGATTTAAACAATTTTTATTATAAAATGGCAAAAAGCTTAATTTTGAGAATAGAGATCAGTTTTATTTTAAAAAATTGTAAATGCTAACAAGGAGTAAATTCTTCATTAAGTCCGACCCCACTCGAAATATGTCTCATGACTCCCTCTATCTTTTACCTCCTCGCCTTTAACCATCAAAATTTAATACCATCAATCCTCTAATATCCAAAGAGTACCGTGAAAAATTTCAAAAATTTTCGACAAAAGGCACAGAAGTTATTAAGCTTCAAAGTGGGTAAACAAAATCGTGCCACGCATACAAACATCCATATGTAAGCCAATAGAAACCTCCAACTTCCCAACCTTTTGCATATCTCGACGTTTCAAGATCTCGAGCCCAAAAATGTAAAAAATTTTTGAAGTGGTCATTTTTTTGACCGATCGCCACATTTTCTCTGTTATACATAATAGCCAGGAAAATAAACGTTACTGATAGACAAGTAAGAAAAACGAAAAATTCAAAATATTTTCCAGAAAACGTGAGAAAATAAAGAAAGTTTTGTGTACAACACAATTTATTTCCTACTCTATCTCACGAATTTCTAGTTTTATCTATTTCTATCTGTCAACAAAAAAGTAGGATCGAAAATTAGCTGAAACAATTTTGGTCATTTCTGACTTCTGTAAGTATAACAAGTTTTAGAGATTGATTCAGAAATTCTGAACTGTATAATTTTAATCTACATTTGATCTAATCGTTATGAATAAATCAGCATACCATAAATCACATTTCTAAACTGTCCATCAAAATTTTTGGTAATGCAAAAATTTTAGAAAACTTCAATAAGATTTAAGAATTCAACTTCGTGATTTTACTTTGTTTTCTTCAAACTAGAACAGAAGAAAAATCACAGATATATTGGATTTGTTAGGAAACTACATAAGCATTTTAATGAAGACACTTGATATTGTAATCGATATACTTTTAACATTAAAGTCAAGTTGTAATTTCGACTATTATTTGAAATTAGATATTACTATAAATGAATTGTTCACTGTTCTAATCTGATATAAATTTATAATTAAATTTATATCTTCTATGTTCTAAATTTGTTATAAATTTTATGATTATTTAGAAATACTGTATTCAGAAAAACAATGAAATTAATTATTTACATTAAAGTTCAAAGTTCATAAAGAGAATGAAAATTTAGCGACAGCTTTGAAAAATTTTTGTAATTCATTATGCTACCCTCGTCATACTTGTGGCTAAACACGGTAATAAATTAATGAATTTCAAAAATAAAAGGTGAAAATACAGAAATATGTAAAAAGTGAGATGTTGAGGAATTAATTCCACTTCTCAATATAATAATCGACATATCAATAATTTTAATTCATATTTACTGTATTTTGTTTCATCTTCCTATTAGATAGTTTTTCAAAAAATTAAATTCCATGTTAATATAGATGAAATTTAGTCTCTGCTATAAGATAATGTCAAATGGAATGATCTCAAATGATAAATACTCGTATATTAATCACTTTATACAAAGATATACTTTAAAAGTTTTTTTTTATAATTCGAACAGGTTCAGAAAACAATACCAATTTGATAATATAATTTTTCCCCAATCGTTGAGACATGTCTCTTGATGAAGATTATAAAAATATGCGAAGATATATAAAATATAATGAAAAATGACATGGTACGATTAATGGAATAAGGCAACCCTTGGGCGATGTGCCAAGAGGATGCCTCCTGGGAAGACTTTCTATGGGAAACTGTCTAGTATTTAGGTGAAGAAAACCAGGAAAATTCCACGTGGCCAGAACTTTGGTGAGACTCGAACCAGCTACCAACTTTACTACTAAAAGAAAATTTTTCAGAGGTTCTTTAAATTCTCAGAACATTTTTCAGAAGTTTTTACTTTATTAAAATAAAAACTTCCGGAAAAATGTTCTGAGGATTTAAAAAATAGTTTTTTTGATGTTTATAATGAATAGAATTTTCCCTAAAATCAAAAAAAAAATTAGTAAAAAATTATCGAACTTAAAATAAGACTAAAACATTCAAATAAGAAAGCCTGAAATAACATTATTTTATATGATTTCTTTGTATAGAAACGAGTGACGATGCGAGAAATATGAAAAATAAATGAATGATTCTATTCTAAAATATTCATGAAAAAATGATTCTATTTATGATTCATGCAACTCGAAAGAATATTTCTCAAATCATTAATATTCTGAGAGTGAATGACGACGATAGATGAATGTTGGAAATATTATGCAATATAACGATTACTAAATATAAAACATTACACGAATACGTCAGAATATTTTGTTCCAAATACTGAGAATGACTCGAAAATTGAATATCTTATTTCAGAAAAATAGGAAAATTTTATGCTGTCAATAGAACAAATTGATCCAAAATTTTCGTAAGAAATATTATTAATGTTTAATGATTACTATTTGCGAAATGTTTAAAATGAAATTAATGGAGAAAAAATTTATCAGTAATGATAATATTCTCACGCAATATATAAAGCTTTCAATAATGATTAGTCAGATTTCTTGTCTCATTTTTATAAGCGAATGCATCAATATCAATTATTTTATCTTGGCATATATGAAATAATCATTAACTTTTTGCATGTAGATCTATGTCTTATGCCTATTTATATACTTAACCTTATTTGATTTTTTATTTCTTATGCATTCTTTATGTTTTTTTTTTTTAAATGAGTTTCTATTGTAAATGGACTACAATTGTTATTATGCAAGTGTATATATTAAATGCGATTTATGAATACGAACTTTACATAATTTTATTTAGTTTTTAAATACATTAGGAACAGTGACATGAATATACTATAAATAATAAATATGTAATTGAATATAAT